AAAGCACAGTTAATCTGTGCTGCTTTATGGTAGAAAAGAAATGTGCTCCTGATAATAAATGACTCTCTTTAGCAGCAGGGCTATATTTCATCGGGACCATGGTTAGTAAATTGGCGGCTCCTGATCCAACATAGCATAAAACTCTTTTTAAGCCTTGAAGGCACAGGCTGGGCTTCTTTTGCATTTTGAGAATGATTAATACAGACCTTCTCTATTTTCTAAAAAGTCCACCAAAAAACGAAACAACAACACCAAAAACCAATCCAACGCTAAGCTTCTAGTTTTCAATGAAAATTCAAGACTTGAACTCAGAGTTGCTTATTTTGAGATTAGTGCATAGATTAAAAAAGTAAGCTTTTGTAAGGACTGTGGAGCTAGAGTGCTTGCCAATGTCTAGCTAACCATAATTTAGGAATCTTGCCTGACATTTTGGCTCAGTAATCCATGCTTTAAGGTGGGAGGAGGCCTAAGAGGATGCTACATATATATAAATATATATATATGTGTGTGTGTGTGTGTGTATGTATATATGTATGTATATATATATATATATATATGTGTGTGTGTGTGTATATGTATATATGTATATATATATATATATATATATATATATATATATGTGTGTGTGTGTGTGTGTGTGTGTGTGTGTGTGTGTGTGTGTACGGCATATATGCATATATATACTATACTATTAGTAATTAACTGATCCAACCTCCTCCTTTTATAAGACAAGACTCAAAAAGGAGAGGTGACTTGCTCAAGGTCCCAAACTTGGTAAGGTCAAGTCTAGTGACCAGAAGCTGCCTTCTGATTCTTAGTCCTCTCCTCTTTCCATTATGCCACATTGTCTGCCTCTCCTCTTTCAGCGCCCTCCCCCCACCCCCTTTCTCTTGCCTGGATCCCTATGCCCTATGCTGTGAGTCTCAACTAATTCATCTTAGTCAGGGCTTGGAAATGGAAATGATTAGACAAATATCTCTGAGGGAGGGGCATAAGAAGCGGGCTGGGGGGGGTTGCTAATGGTACATATTTCTTGGATAGACAGTAAAGATGAAGGATGAACTGGGCCAAGAGTTGAAAAGAAGAAAAGAAGGAGGAGAATGGGTTGGATATTTATGGGAAGTTGCAAAGATATTTTATTGACTGCAGACCTCTGATAAAAGTAAAGGCTTAACTTCTCAGAAAAATATTTTATTAGTGTTGCTACATGGCAATGAGTTGTGGAAAAAACACTATCTCCACTAGGAAAACTGGGGATCAATAGGTCCATAGGGTATGAGAAGGCTGAAACATACAATCAATGAAGAACTCCACAGAAGAGGAGGATATCATTAAGGAATCATATGAAAGGAAGAGAAGATAGTCTTGTCATCTGGCAAAAGGCAGGGTACTTCTCCGGTACCTTCTAGAGGTCAAGAAAAGTCACCAAATGCTTCCACTGGGTGGTCTTCCTGTGGTGAACTTTTGGGAGACTATGGATCAGAGACCCACAGGATCATAGTAAATAGCTAATAATTTGTAAAGTGCCTACTGTGTGACAGGCACTGTGCTGTGCTTTACAACTGTTATCTCATTTGATACTCTCGACAACCCAGAGAGGTAGGTGCTAATTATTATCTTCATTTTACGGTTGATGAAACTAAGGCCAACAGAGGTTAGGCGATTTGTCCAGGGTCACACAACTATTAAGTGCCTGTGGCTGGATTTGAACTCAGGTCTTCCTGACTCCAGGCCTGGCACTCTATCCATTGTGCTACCTCACTGCCCCAAGATGGGCAGGTCTGGATGGGTTACACTCTGCATTGCTGGTGGGAGCTCCCAATTGGTTGAGATCGAAGACACATTTATGTATTTGAGTAAGAGGCAGCCTGGCACACTGGATAGACAGCTGGCCTTGGGTTAAAATCTTCCCTCTGACCCTATTAGCTGTGTGACCCTAGACAAGTCACTTATTATCTCAGTGCTCTAAGCAATTATCTAAGGCAATGGGCTGCAGAACAATTGTTGCTCTGCATTGGCGAAGGGAGTTTCCTAATCAGGAGTTCCCTACACAGGTAAGATCACAGTCTAGCCCATCCAGTAAAAAATAAGCTAAGTGTTGCAGTCGCCAGTAACCAATGATCTCTTAACCATAGATTCCAATGTGTTTTTTCTCACTTCTCGCCCTTTTTACCTCCTGCTGCATTTGACATTGCTAACCAGCCTCTCCTGAATACTCTCTCCTCTCTCTTTTTTTTTTCTGTGATACTCCTTTCTCCTGGGTCTTTTCTTACCTGTTTAATTGCTCTTCTTAAGCCTTCCTCCACTCTTTTGACTAGATCTTCATCCCTGTCAAGGCTCCTAACCTGTAAACTCCTAACTGAGTTTACTCTAAAACAATGGTGTGCCAGTAAACGTTTAACAACTAGGTCTCTGGAAAGCAGGATATATTTTTTCATTTCGTCTGCATTATTAACATTTTCTCAATCACTTTCTTAAGTCAATTAGCAAAACAACAAATCAAGCCCTGATTTGTGGCATTTACTGATTTCTCAGGTGTAAATCCTCAGGTTGAATATTTAACAATCAGCTCTCATGAGAACTAGCTCCAGCACACCTCTGACTCCCAAACTCTGTCTTTAGGGCCTTTTCTCTCTAAACCTTTTCTTTTGATGACCTCATCATCTTCCATGCGTTTAATCATCTCTGTGCAGATAAACACAAGATCTATATCCATCCCAAGTCTCTCCATTAGTCCTACTCCTGCATCACCACCTGTCTATCAGACATTTCAAACTGGATGTTCAGAAGACATCTTAAACCCAACATGCCCAGAATACAACTCATTATCTCCTCTCTACCAAACTCTCCTGTTCTTGAAGAGGGTTCCACTGGTCTTCCAGTCTCCCAAGTTCGTAATCCTGGTTTTATCCTCAACTTCTCATTCTTTCTCACCCCAAATCAGTTGCCAAATCTTGGCATTTCTGCTTTAACACTATTTCTCACTTTAGATTCCTTCTTTCCACTCATACAGTCATCACTTTAGTTCAGGCCTTTATCACCTTTCACCCAGATTATTTAAACAGCTTCCTAATTAGTCTCCTTGACTTTCTCTCTCTCTCTCTCTCTCTCTCTCTCTCTCTCTCTCTCCCAATTTGTGGGCAGCTAGGTAGTATAGTTGATAGAGCACAAGGCTTGGATTCAGGAAGACTCATCTTCCTAAGTTCAAATCTGGCCTCAGACAATTATTAGCTGTACCCTGGGAAAGTCATTTAACCCTGTTTGCCTCAGTTTCCTTATCTGTAAAAAGCTGGAGAAGGAAATGGCAAACCACTCCAGTATCTTAGCCAAGAAAACTCTAAATGGGATCATGAAGAGTTGGACACAACTGGACAACAACAGTAAAAAGGCTAATTTATCTAATGCACAACTTTCTTTAAGTGCAGCTCTGACCACATCACTGTCTTATCCAGTAGCTTTCCTTTGCCTCTAGGATAAAATAGAAATTCCTCTGGCTTCATAACTTGGCCCTTTACTTCCTATACTCCATAGTCCAAAGGGGTAGGGAGTCTGTAGGCTCGATGCTATAAGTGGTCCTCAAGTATGGCCCTTCAACTGAATCCAAACTTCACAGAATAGATCCCCTTAATAAAAGGATTTGTTCTGTAAAACTCAGACTCAGTCAAAAGGCCGCACCCAAGGACCTAGAAGACCACATGTAGCCTCAAGGCCTCAGGTTCCCCACCCTTGGCTACAAACTGAACTTCTCTTTGTTCCTCACACTTGGCACCCTATCTCTCATTTCTATGCCTTTGCATTGGCCATCTCCCAAGCCTGGAATGCACTCACCTCTGCTTCACAGAATCCCTTATTTTCTCAAGATACAATTCAAGCACCACCTCTATGAAGACTTTCATGTAGTACCCTCTCTTGAATTTAACTAACTTGTATTTATTAATTCCATATAAATTTATTCTAAATGTTTATATATGTAAATAGCACATCCCTTGAGAGCAGGTCTGGTTTTATCTTAGCACGTTACCTAGTAGGTGCTTAATAAATGCTGATTGATCATTTGGTCTCTGCTCTTGAGTAGCTTACATTCTACTAGCATGATTTAAAATTATCAAAAATTTTTCCCTTGCTTTAAGTTTGGGAAGAAGACATTTCCAAGTCATGGATATGCACCTAAGGAATGTTTCAAGGCCTCTGATGTACATCGAAGGTCTTGTAGGAAAGGTTTCTCTTAAAGACTTCAGATTATGTAGATGCTAATGATTCATTTTTGCAAACAAATTGATCCCAGTAAATAAGACTGCTCCACAGATACCTGCTTTTCTCATCTATCATCATACCTAGTTTAGATTATTTATCCATATTTAGTTCATCTTCCTAGGAATTTTGCCCTAGAGAAGAGTTTTGATGACTTTGTTGACTCCTATTCCTAGATTAAAATTAAGGAGAACTAAAGAGAGTTGCAGTACATGGGTACTATAACGGTCTTCTCTCCCACACAGCCAATAGAACCCAAGTTGTCAATGTCTTTGGGACACACGTAGAAGAATCTTCATTTTGCTTGGCCAGGACTACATGTAGGACCTTGGATGAATGAGTGGATAGACACTGTGACTGCTCGTTATGGACCATCTATTCAGCTTTTTAATATTCAGTATGTTAATAAACCATGATATTATGGCAGTGAGTCTGTAACTAATCTACCATAATAAATAACAGTAATGGTAGCACTCCCAATGTATTTTAAGCATTTAATGTGCTGCTTGGGAAACCTGACATCTTAAATAAACTTTATTCTTAAGGTATTTAAAAAAACATAAAGGCATTAATGAAATATAGAGCACAATAGGAGTTGACACAGCAGTTCCCAGCTCCCTGGTTCCTGGAGCTTAAATCTTTATTGTGGAAGATGTGGGTCTTCTACGGTTTTAAGTGAGTTATAAAACTTTTATAGAGTGCTCTCCAACTTTGCTTTAAAATAGTTTCTATGTTCTTTTTTTAAACAGCAAAGGTGACCTGCAAACATCTTGGGAATAGTAGAACAACCTAATTCATCTTTTGACTATACCTTGCTGAATATCATTGAAGATCTCTGTCTGAGACAGCACCTGAGAAATGCTTTACTGAGAAAAAAAACTTCAGGGCCATAATTACTGGCATTAGGCTTGGACAGTCAAAACCCCAAATTCAATGGAACTGGGAAAGTTTATACCAAGGGTTAACAAAATACAAAAAATGAACCTGCAGGCTATCTTTAGCCTACCCCGTTATAGGGTGCTGACATCTGATTTAAGCCATTAGTGTGAGGTAACTCTTCTTTAACTCTTAGTGGTTCAAGTGGTCCCTGTGAACAGATCAATTCATAACTCCTTAAGGTGACTTAGTTTCCATATTTGAAAAAAAGATTTCTGAAGTCAGGGAAAAATTCCAATGCCAAATGGTTTCTTATTTATAAATTCTTTCAAATATTGGCATGTCATAGTACATTCTATCCTCTATCTATCTATCTATCTATCTATCTATCTATCTGTCTGTCTATTCATCCATTTATTTTAACCAGACATGTATTCTTCAAGAAAGCCCAAGAGCTTCATTGATCAAACCACTGTGAAAACATATGCAGCCCACAAGAACTATATGAATATAATTTGGCCTCCTTATTTGGACAACCCCATTTGGATCTAATGTTTGTTACTGGGTTAAAGAAGGCAGGAGGCAGGAGAATTCATCTGTTCATTACTCCTTTGCCTCAGTAAGATCATAGAGAATAACTGATTGTATCATTGTCAGCAAAAAAGAATTAATAAATACATCCTTGTACCTGACATTGAGCTAAGTATTCAATAAAATATCTTTATGAAGCTTTCAAACCTCTTTTCACTGCCAGAGAATTATACATGTTAATATGAAGACAGTTGTTTACCATTAAACAAAGGTGATGATAACCCTGTTGGGATACTGTTTAATATTCTCCATTTCAGAGTTTATAAAGATCAGAGACTTTGTGTATAGTGACTCTCAATCCAGAAAATTTGAGGATAAGGACTTTTATACCCCTCTGTGCCTCTCTTTTCTCCAAATCCTCAAACCATTACTTCTTGTTTCATTCCATGGGAAGCCTCACACATTATCTAACACAGTTGGTGCCTACAAGGCGCAGTGTAAGGTATGATGAAATGCTTCCCCTAGAATGAAATGGAGTGAGGGTTAGAGAGAAGAGAGGAGCAAATGAGTATATAGAAGAAAAAGAAAGCGCTTCTGATTATATATACATGTATATGTATGCATTAGACATACTTAAATATTTGTGGATTTAAAGAATTGCCTAATACATTTTGTATTTTAAGTTTTGCAAAGTTCAGTTTATATATGTATATACATGTATATATGTACATATGTGTGTATATATCAAGCTGCAAAATGCTCAGGGCAATCAGTATATATGTACATACATGTAAATATGCATATACATGCACATACTACACATGTGTGTGAGTATATACATGTATATGTTTATATATGCATACAGTTGGTAGGCCAATAAAATTGAGCATCTACTACATGCTAGGCCTTGTGCTAAGTGCTGGGGATGCAAAGAGGCAAAAAACAGTCCCTGCTCTCAAGGAGCTCACAATCTAGTGGGGGAGACAAGCAAACAAACATGTACAACCCTGTTATATACAGGATAAATAGGAAATAATGAACAGAGGGAAGGCACTAGAAGTAAGAGGGGCTGGGAAAGGTTTCATGTAGAAAATTTTAGCTGGGACTTAAAGGAAGCCAAGAAAACCAGTAGGCAGAGATAAACGAGAGCATTTCAGGTACAGGAGACAGCCAGAGAAAATGCCTGGAGCCAAGATATGACATGTAAAGTTCATGGAATAGGAAGGAGGCCAGTACCACTGGATTGAAGTGTAGTTTCAGGAAGTAAGGTATAAGAAGATTGGAAAAGTAAGAGGGAGCTAGATTATGCAGAGCTTTGAATGATAGAGGGTTTTGTATTAGATCCTGGAGACAATAGTCAGTCATTGGAGCTTCTTGAAGGGGGACATTGAAGTCTAACATTGTCAGACCTGTGCCTTAGGAAGCCTTGGTGGCTGAATAGAGGATGGAGTAAAGTGGAGAGAGACCTGAGTCAGGGAGACCCACCAGCAGGCTTATGACATTTAAAAAGTTCAGGAGATGTCATTTCTAGGTAATTAATAATTTTATTAACAATGCTAACATTTTATTAATAAAAGTGCCAGTGGCACTCTTAAATGCCAAAGACCGATCTTAGTGGTGGGCTTACAGTTTATATGCCCTTGGAAGAGTGGATGTTCTTGAGGCTGGCAATCAACGCCGATTGGTTAACAAGTAATGAGAGAGAATGAATATTACAATGAGGTGGACCTATTCTAAGGAGGGGCTGGGGAGACGGGAAATGTCATTTACTTCTAAATTGCTCAGCCTTGGGCAATCTAATCAAAGAATTTATCCCCACCCATACCTGTGTAGAGCAGATGGGTTTTTCCACCTTAGATTAAATTCCTTTTAAGGCTGAGTGGGGTCTGAACAAGATTGAGGAAAAAGTTAATTCAATCTCATTATCAACAATGTCCTTCAGAGACTGAATACCCTACAGGCTTCTGAAAAAAAATCCTGGTCCTAATTCAATAATTGATTATTAATGTGAAGGAGAAATAATCATTTCTCTCAGGCTATTGCTGCTGGTCCAGGTGTGAGGGGATGAGGCTTGCACTAGAGTGGGGGGCAGTGTCAGAGGAGAGAAGGGGGCATATTAGAGAGATTTTGAAAATATGAAATTGACAGACCTTGGGAACAGATTAGATAGGGTGGAATGGATTTGATGGATAATGAAAAGTCCAAGATGACACATAGGTTGTGAGCCTGAGGGACTGAGAGGATTGTGTTGCCCTCTATATAACAGGAAAGGTAAGAGAAGGGGAAGGTTTAGGCAGGGAAACAATGAGTTCAGTTTTGGACATATTGAATTTAGGAAGTCTATTGGACATCCAGTTTGTGATATTTAAAGGCGGTTGGAGATATGAGACTGGAGGTCAGCAGAGAGCTAGATAGGTAAATATGAGAATGATTAGCATCGAGATGGTAATTAAATCTATAGGAACGGTTGAGATCACCAAGTGAAGTAGTATAGATTGAGAAGAGAAGAGGGCCCAAGAGAACCCTGTGGGACAGGGCAAGATCTTGATAAGGAGCCAGCCAAGGAGACAGAGAAGTGGGTCAGATAAGTAGGAGAATCAGAAGAGAGTGGTGTCCCAAAAGCCTAAAGAGATTATCAAGTACAAGAGGCTGTCATAGGCCATAGAGAGGTCAAGGAGAATGAGGATTGAGAAAAGGCCATTGGATTGGTTGATTAAGAAATCATTGGTAACTTTGGAGAGAGCAATTTCAGCGTAATGATAAGGTCAGAAGCTGGATTGTAAGGTATTAAAAAGTGAGTGAGGGGAGAGAATGGAGAAGAACCTATGGTAGATGACCTTTTTAAGGAGTTTAGACATAAAGAGCAAAAGAGATATAGACCGATAGCTGGGATTGAAGGATCAAGTGAGGGTTTTTTGAGGATGGAGGAGACATGGGCATGCTTGTAGGCAGTAGGGAATGAGCTAGTAGGCAGCAGACAGTAAACACACACACATACACATGCATACCAATGTATTTATATACATATACATACATGTGTGTGTGAGATGGCCGCAATCCTAGGCACAGGCTTGCCTAAGAGGCTGTGAGCTTACAGCCTGCAGTCCAGTGCGGGGAGGATAGGGCATCCCCATGGATCTTCTGGAGCTTCCAGAGTCATCCTTATACCTCTAGGCCTGCATGAAGAAGAAGGCCATGAATCAGAAATGTCCCTTTGGCAGATTCATGGAGTTCTGGCTCGGCAGCCAATTAAGTGGAACTTAAGAGCCAACAGGAAAGAAGCAGAGGGTCTCTGTGCTTATTCTGAAGTATGTATCTGCACGAAGGGAAGAGTGTCTCCTTCACTCATTCACCAGGTGGTGCTACACATTTTCCTATACCTTGAGTAAGTCTGTTGTCCTTTATCTGACTCAGTCTCAGTCTCAATTGTTAGATGAGGATGACAACATCCTTTAATCAAGAAAGCGTTATAGCAATGGTAAGTTCATATTGGCAAAAATCTTTGGGAGAAAAAGCAATTCACTCTCTCTATCAGCCATTCCTGTTAGCTGGGTGTCTCAGCTGATAGAGCACTGGGCCTGGAATCAGGAGGACCTGAATTCAAATGTGGCTTCAGACAATTACTAGTGTGTGATCCTGGGCAAGTCATTTAACCTCAGTCAGTCTCAATTTTTTCAACTGTAAAAAGAGAGTAATACTATCCCCTACTTCCCAGAGCTATTGAGGGAATCAAATGAGATATTTGTAAAGAACTTAGCACAGTGTCTGGCTCTTAGTAAACACTCAATAAAGGTTTCATTCCTTCCTTCCTTTCTTCCTTCCTTCCTTCCTTCCTTCCTTCCTTCCTTCCTTCCTTCCTTCCTTCCTTCCTTCCTTCTTACCTTCCTCTCTTCCTTCCTTCTCCTTCCTAATTGGAAAAGCTACCTCACTCCTCTATCCAATTCCATTACAGGCCTTGCCTCAGATACAGAATATGAAAGGAACAACAATACATCCTTTCTCTCCTCTATCTCCTTCCTTCAAGACTATTAAGCCCCAATTTACTAGTCTAATGACATTTTTTTTTTACTCATAGCTGCCAAAAACCAGGGCACTTGCAAGGTCAACTTACTGCAGTTACCATAGAGACATGGAGTAGGCCTGGATGAACTTGCAAGCCCTAGACTTGATCTATTAAATCTTCAATTCCCTTCAAGAAGCATTCATTGAGTACCTGTTGTGGAGAATACAGAAAGACCTTGGCTCTTGAGCAACTTACAGCCTTGTATTTTTCTCTAACGTGATTTGCTCTTGTGTAGTGGAAAGATTCCAACTAGATCTGTGACCCAGTGCAGGGTCTCTCAGCCTTGATTTCCTCTTGTATAAAGAAGATACAATAATGCTGCCCCCAGCTACTTCACAGAATGGTTGTGGAAAGCAAATGAGATATGTGCTCTCTGTGAAACTGCTCTGAAAGCTATATGGAGCTATTAAAATGTAAATGATTATTAATACAAGCTCAGTGTATTCTCAGTCCCAGAAATCTTCACTGCCTAAATGTGAAGGTACTCCAAGGCTCTGTCCTTAGCCCTCTTCT